AAAAAAAAAAAAATACCGGGCGCTCCCGGTAGCATTCTCATCGCGTCGTGATTTTCGAAGCCTTCAAAACGAAGAAAATCTTTGATTTCAACATTCTTTTAATATTGCATCCGCCATCTGCAGGAACAAGGCGATACTATATTTCACTCCGATCGTTAGATGGCACCTCTTCTTACTTCAGCATTCCCCCTCCCTCATTTCCGGTTTGAGATTTTGGCCCTTTGGGATTTTATCACCCATCCTCCAGAACTGTGCTACTTGGGTTGAGAGAGAGCGATGAAGCGTTATGATTGGAGCTCCCTCGAGCCAGTGGTACCAGCTCCTGGTGAAAAAAAAAACTACCGACGATGTTGCCACTTTTTTGTATGAATTATAGTATATTTCAGCACGTGTGGGGCAATTTCGTCTTTAACGTGTGTGGGGTTTACAGCATGAGCCGAAGGCGAGTGATGTAACCACACACGTTAAGGACGAAATTTCCCCACAAGTACTGAACAAAATTTTATGTCACGAAGCCTGAAACCGGCTGAATTAGACACGAGATGCGAAGCGTCGAGTGTGTAATCCAGCCGGTTTCAGCCATGAGTGGCATAAATATTTTTTCATTTGTTAAAAAAAACAATCTGAAAACCATTCAATGCGTGGAACAGATACAAATTGATTTGATTAGCTCCAAAAATAATTTTTAACCGGAGATACTTCCTCATATTGCCTGAATTTTCAATCCGAATGGGAAAATTTTTTTTGTTCAGCGATTGGTTTTCTGCAGGAAAACAATAGAAACCCCTCCGCCTCACCTACATTTCCTCCTCGCCCGATTATCCTTAACGAAAAAGTCACAGTTCAGTCACGAACGTAACATCATTGTCAAAAAATATTATTCCGCACATATGAGACGTAAATTTTCAGCTCACTCATATCGAAATGTACTATTTTAGATTCCAAATCTTTGTAATTTTTTTCAAAAAGATCAAACATTACATAATTAGCGAAATTTCAGATTTTTCCCTAATTTTTTCAGAATTCTGACGTTTAAGGCATCAGGAAGCAAGAGGAAAAATATGGCAAGAATATATCTCATAAAGCCATAAAGAGACGAAGATGTTCTTTTTTTATTCGTTGGAATCGGTTGAACAGAACGGTAGTTATGTTAGAAAAACCAAAAATCATGAAAAAAATCATATCTCTGTAGTGGGTAATTGAAAAAATCTGAAAAAATTCAGGAAATAGTCTATCATGTTGTTTTCTTGTCCCTTTACCACAAGAAAAATTGCCGTTAATTTTTTAGATGGTCAGGGTCAACGACTGATCGATTTGACATAGAATAACTCATACAGACGTTACGACGCTACAGTGACTCCTGAATGCATTTTTTTGGATTCATCACCACGCGGCGGGAGCAGCAGTAGCAGTTTCAAATAGCTACATATATATTATATATATAGGACGGACGAGAGTATGTAAAAATGGCGGACGAAAATGAGGATCAGTGGTTATACGGTGATTCAATTGACGATAAACCCGAGTTTCCTGGGGATCCAGAGATCCAAAATGATCAGGAAGAAAGTGCAGCGGCTAATGAAGGAGAGAAATCAGTGCTTGAGGGAGATGGAGCTGAGGATATTCCGGAGGAGGCGACCGGGGTGAGTTGATCAACATAACCTCCATAGCTCTGTTTCTAATACAAGACGAGCATAGCAATGATTATGCTGATTTTCGATGGATTTTTAAGGAACGTTGGTGGATTGAAAGAGCAAAAGAACTCACTGAGATCTTTTATTCTGTAATTGAGTTAACAAATAGAATATGATAGACAGGTCTTGTTAAATATCGAATTATTTAAATTACAAGAGATATTTTTCGTAAACAAATCATTCTTTAGAAATATAGACTTTAAATAGTTTGTCCGAAAATCACTTGTTGTCAAGATGATCGAGAAATACGACTGTTAAGGCTTCAACCTGATTTTTATACAAAAAATTGCACATAGCATTACCTGTTGAAATCACCGGTTTCCCAGTTCGATTCAAAATTATGGAGAATGTCTAGTTCACCTAAAAAATGAAAAGAGAAATGTTGCATTGAAATCTGCATATTTCTTGATTCAACAATCCGTTTCGGAAAAATCGGGGCTTATTTTCAAACTCCAAAAACATCTGGAAATGGAAGAAAAAAGTGGTGCCAATTCGAAATTGTCAATCTCAAGATATTCTCTCAACTAAAAAGACCTCTAATGCCCTAGGAACAGGGATCACCATCAATATTAAATTTCTGTAATGTTACAAGGATTTGACCCTTACATTAATATATTGATCAAATTTTATAAATAGTATAATATTATTGATCTAATTTCTTTCGATTAATGATGAATTAAAAATTTGATAATATGGACCTGTAAATTTAGCATTAAGTGAATAATTCAAATACCTTAAGAGGGCGATTTTCGATTACACAAACCATCGCCAATCTTCCTACCTCAATTATTCATTAATAAAATAGTTAAAGATTTGAATATTTGAATTGATGATACTTCAATAATCAAAAAATTTCCGAGTGATGTCCACTAATTGACGGCTACAATATTTAACTGTAATTCTATTTTATGGATTTGCTATCCCTGCCCAGGAACCAGAGCTCCAATCTGAGGATCCTGAAGTCTCCCTCAACGAGAACCCAGATCCGGAAAAAATATCGCCAGAGACCACCGAGAACGGCACAAAAGATCCCGACGAGGACCCAAGTGAGTCCGACTCGGACGATGATGTCCACGTGGTGATCGGCGACATAAAATCCACCCCAGCAGCATACAATAGCTTAAACCTGAAACGAGGCAATCTGATCACCTCCTCAGGTGCCGACAACCTGAAAAAACAGTCAGGAAAGTTCAGTATTGATGACTTTGAGACGATCGGTGTGATAAATGGCATGCAGGCCCACGAATTCAATCTGGATCAGCTGGAGGACAAGCCCTGGCGCCAGCCAGGTGCCGACATAACCGATTACTTCAATTACGGCTTCAACGAGGAGACCTGGAGAGCTTATTGTGAGCGCCAGAAGCGAATGAGAAGTGAATCCGGGGTGGGCTTGATCCTGAATGCTGGTGGGGGCATTGGGGGTGGGGGTCAGAGCAGTGCGAGAGTTCCCCAAATTTCAATCACAAACGACAGCAGCAAGTATTCAGGAATAATGGGGCCAAAACGAGCTGGACCACCCCCAGGACGAAAGATGGGGGGAACTATTGATGTCATAGGCAGTTCTGGGCTTGCGTCCAGGAGAAACCTGGATAAGTCACCTCCCAAGGAGAATGTCATTCAGGTGATGACGGCTGACAGGAGGGAGTACTCGAGGAAACCTGGATTTCCAGATATGAGTGTCCCTCCACCTACTCCAGGAATTCCACCCACCTTTGATATGCCTCCTCCAGGGTATCCTCCAGAGCCTCCACCGTTTTATATGCCTGAACCTGATCCTTATTATCAGAGCTATGAACCAACACAGGACAGTCAGTGGGGGAGTGATCCTGTAAGTATTGAAACGTTTTTTTTTTCATTTTTAGTTGCATTTATAGCTAAGTCACTACTAGAGATGTGGAATGACCGACATTTTCCCTTTCGGTCAGGTCAGACGTAATGACCGATTTCTGACCGTTTTCTGACCTTGATCGAATTTTGTGTGCAAAATGATCGTCACCGTTAAGGGTATTATGGCGGAGTCCATAGTTGAAAAAAAAAGCAGAGAATTCAATGAAAATTGCTGAACAGATTATTCGATCCATTTGAAAGCCGTGTGCAAAATGTCAAGATCCCTACTTAAACAATAATAATGGGAATAATTTTTTAAGTTGCTACTTATACACGCAGTTGAATGGGGCATCGGTAATTTTTGTAAATTTCCTACGTTATCGATAGATCAATAACGTAGGAAAAGCACTACACGACATTGAATTCCCTGCTTTTTTTTCCAGCTATGGACCCCGCCATAATACCCTTAAGCTGCGTCAGAGACGAGCCAAAATTACAAAAAATCGTCTATGTAGTTGCAAATTGACCGTCATTTTTATTTCGGTCATTTTTTGGGTCATTTTTTAAGGCTTCGATCGGAAAACTTTTTAGTAGAATTGAATTATTATCATTTATAATTTTATTTATTAATTATTATCAGTGGCCCCGTTCTTGCTGATACACTATTAGAAGAACATCATAAAATGCCAGATTTCACTGAAAAGTCAATAAAGTACAAAAATTTTGAGAAGCATAAAGACGAGAATTCTTTACTTTATTTGAATTTTCAATAAAAGCATGAATATTCAATGCCAAATCCTATGTATATGTTCATCGAAATTTTCCAGTTTTCTATCAAGTTTCAAGGAATAGTTGAACTAAAATTTACAGTTCTTGATTTTTCCTCGAAATTCAGAATTTTCAATGACGAAATTCCTTGAAATTTCGGTGGAACTTGAATGTAATAAAAATTTCCGAAAGGTGTACTAGAAATTTCAGCTACAAATTTTTAATTATGTAGAAATCACTGTCCTAGTACTCAAAAATTGCGAGTCACCTATATAGATGAAAATTGACGGTCAAAATTTATTCGGTCATGTCATGTTTATGGCCAATCGTCATTTCTTTTTCTGACCATATGGTCATATTTTCGGCGCGCTAATTACCGGTCATGACGGTGGTCATTGGCGGTCAGTTGACCGGTCACTCTTGTCACACCTCTAATTATTACCACCGACTATTACTGAAACCTTCTTTCCTATATTTGTGTATTTATGATTAATGCAAGTGAAAAAAATATTTCCTTTATACTGATCGATTGAATCGTTTTTTAGGCATTTATTTTCTTTGAGAATTATTTCGAAACTCGTTCTATTTATTGTAGACCTGGCAACCGACAAATCTAGCAATACCACTGACGGAACACGAGGATAAGGATGCAGGCCCAAAGACAATTCCCACAATGGTGCCACCATTAACAATACCTCCTCTGATGGTACCACCTGGTCGTGATCAGCGACCCGATCCTCGGGGAACTATCGACAGGGAACGCAGGGACATGGCGGACAGGGAGGTCGACTCCACGGGCAAGGAGAGGGATCGGGATCGTGGAGAACGAGACAAGGACTCTGCTGTGAGGGACAGGGATAGGGATCGAGACTCCGTTGCCAAGGATGATGATAAGGATCGCGATAGATCAAGATCCCAGTATCGACATAAAGAAAGGTAAATTCATCCAGAATTTATTTCAAAATGTTTCTAAAACGAGTATTCACGTGGTAACAAGTGAGTTTAGGAGGAAATGTCCAGGAGCTTTTCTTGTTGAACATTTAAATTTTCTACAAAACAAGGTCGGTTAACATTTTTTTCCGAAAATGACCCACCATCCAGATGTATTAACAGAATTGTGGAATTGCGCTTTCTAAATTCCACATTCAGTAGCGAAGTGGTAAAACGGTTACAGTCGGCTTATCTCCCATTTGTTTTTTTAAGGAATATTTCCGAATCTAAGGGAGGTATCGAAATCTTCGTAATGTCATTTATTGTAGCTCTCAATCAACTCTACAAAAAAGGTTACAACAAAAATTTTTCCATCTCCCTTAGATTCCGAGATATTTATTGAAAACTGGTCAATAGTCAAAATTGACTTCTACCGTTTTACCACTTCGCCATTGAATTGAAGTTTTTGAATGTTCAATTTGTTTTTCGATTAATTCGATCGGCATGATTCGGGTATGTGGAATTCAAAGAAAATTCAAAGAAAATATTTTGGGGGGAAATGTCACAAGATATTTTTGGTTGAAACTCAAATTCAGAAGCAAAGTTTCATTAACATTGTCTTCTAGGAACATTCATTATCGAGATACATATAATTTTCAAATAATAAAACTTTCATTCATTACTCTTTACAATTTCATCACGAAATCGTACATCGCCAGTTAAATTCATGGGTATTCATTTTCTAACAATAACAGTCAATCCTTCCATTTTCAGACACAGACATCGATCAAGATCTCGTTCACGTCGTCACAAATCTCGATCGAGGAGCCCCAGTCGTCGTAAGAAGAAATCCAGACGCTCAGATCGTGAACGCTCCAAAGAAGACAGCGAATGAATTATTTCTCTTGTATAAATCCCGCTAAATATTTCCAACATGTTTGTACAAATCCAAAAAGTTCAAGTAATATTCAACTGAACAACAAAAACGTGAGCATCAAACAACGCATGGAGAATTAAAATAACAATAAAGAGCAAAGCACTATTTTTCGGTGCGTAATGTGTACATTTGAGAATTTTTTAATAAACCCAAATTGTTGAATACGAAAGTTGCGTAATAAAGTGCGAAGGGGGAGATGATAACGATTTAATGGATCTTCTCGTGTTGTTCTTTTACTTGTTCTCGTGGCTGATCACATTACGTGAAATACCTTGCAATGGATAGAAGATATTTATCGACTTGTTAAAGGTTTACTGCACGTTGAGGATGATTATCACTCCATTGAGTGAGGCGAAAAGATAAAGGCGATGGCTGTCAATTTTTTTAAGGATTATGGAAGTGAAAGGGTGAGGAATAAAAAAATTATAGAGTAATTGATCTAATTTATGCCATTGCACGTGATATTATGGTGGTGACTCTATTTATTAAGAGGAGACTACTATGAGTTTTAAATGTCGCGGGATATTTTTGTGAGATTTCTCATGCATTGAAGATCGATTATATATGTCTAAAAACGAATCATTAGGGCAAAAAAAATCATTGTTTATTGTTCGTTTGCCCCGCAGATGCTTTAAATGTTAAAAATAGTCCAGGGCCTCCAATATTTGAGGTACGGAGGTTTTTTTTTTTAATTTTTGAAAAAATGTGTACAATAACAATTACGAATTAGTTTTTTGAAATTCGGCTCCTACACAGCGAATTTCGTTTTGTTTAATATAAAAATTTGCGCCAGTCATGTAAAATAGGCAGAAAAATTATCCTTAAAATATTTAAAATATATTCTCGACTCTTTCAGAAACATTTTTCGGGCTATTTTACATGAATGTTGCAATTTTTTATTAAAACAATACCGAAATTAGCTGTATAGAAGTTGAATTTCAAAAAACGAATTCATAATTGTTATTGCGCATATTTTTTCAAAAATTTTGAAAAAAAAACCTCTGTAGCCTAAAAACTGGAGGCCCTGGACTCTTTTTATCATTTTAAACGTCTGCGGGGCAAACGAACAATAAACAATCAATTTTTTGCACTAATTATTCGTTTTTAGATATATAATCGATCTTCAATGTATGAGAAATCGCATTTCGATAGCCCGCGACTTTTAAAACTCATAGTAGTCTCCCCTTAAGGCTCCATGATCTCCCGAACGTCATCTAGATTACTTTTTTTGTAAAAACTTGATGACCCGTCACTTAGAGAACCCCGAAAATTATGAATTTGGATGGAAAAAAATAGTACAAAAAGTTCTGACGATTTTGAAAGAGCGTCTTTAATTAATATTGGAGAATGAGTTCCATAGAGAAGATATAAATAATGCATAATTACCGTGGAAAATGGCGGTCTGTCAATCGCCACCGTGGGGGAGAAAAGGCGAAATAATAAATCCTTTGGCACCGCGCAACCAGACGATTGTACGAAAAGAAGCTCTTTGAAATATTTTGTACCCCACTCGATCAATTCGATGAGCCCTTTATTTTTTTTAAATTGTGCATTGACTAATTAAAACATTGCCGAGCTGTGAATCTCATCTCCTGAACCACTGGGCGTGAATGGAGAGCGAATTGCGTCCCTCTCTCAGTTTAAAGTTCGCATTTGATGAGATTCAAATAGCAGTACCAAAGGACCAATGTACCTCGACATCTGAGGAACCGTGGCCGCAAAGCCGAATAAATTCATCAAATTTATATATCCCACGGTCGATCAAATCATGAAAACTACCTTTGTAATATTTTTAAGAATTTTTTTATTGTACTTTCACGATGAACTACTAATCACTTACACCAATCTCCCCAATGAAAAATTATACTGTCCATCTATTGTCACTACTGTCGGGGGCGCAAAAAAACGGAAGAAAGAGCGATTTTCCTGTTTTCAATTCCCGACAAAAGTGCCAACTGATCGCCAGTACAATTATCAATTGAAAAGTAAGTTATTAGTAATTCATCGTAACACTGTGATGAAAAATTCTTGAAAATATTGCAATTTTCTCAAAGAGCCTTTTTTCGATCGTTTTGTTACGGTGTGCCAAAGGATTTATTTTTTGTCTTTCCTCGGTAATGATACATTATTCATATCTCCTCTATTGAAATCATGCTTCAATATTAACTAAAAACGCTCTTTCAAAATGTTTAGAATTCGCTTTTTTCAATCTAAATACCGAATTTTCGAGCGGCCCTGACTGCCGGGGCATCGAGTTGAAATTTCAAGATGAAAATTGAACAAAAAAAATCAATTTAGATAACGATCAGCCGTTAATGGAGCCGGGTCTTAATTCCATTTATTCAATATTTTTCATCTGATGTCCCAACAAGCACAGAACAAATTTCAATATTTTACGCTTAGAAATAATAATAACGAAATTAAAAATGCAGTTGGCAATAGAGATAACTTTTTTTATTAGAAAACAATCCTTATGATATAAAAATGATGATTTATATTAATTTTACATTTTACAACTAAAGAATGATCTTTTCGACTTAAACTTTTAATATCTCACAATCAATACAATTTGATTTCCAAGAATTGTCATCAGTGGGACGAATCTTGAGTCTGGCGTACAAATTCTTGGACATATCCCCTGGATTTATGATGAATGTGTCATCGCTCCATTTGCAGAAGGGTTTCAAGGATGAAGGTAGCAGGAGGATGTGTGGTCTGTATTTCATATGGGCGTACTTCTCCCACAGCTCGATGTCCATGTTTATTTCTTTGGATGGTGGGTACAGGGGGTAGAAGCAGGCCTGCTGCAACACGTGTTCGGCTAGACGGGCGACCCTGTCTGTACCACCCATATTGCTGAAAAATGAAGGACATTTAAGTGTCAAAAAAATGGCATTCTATTCTATTTTAGCTGTGAAAAGATGGATCAGGCTGAATCAACTTTGACTCAAGTTTTAGCCAATTAACTTTTGCCAAATATTACGGAATTTATGAGATGGCGAAATCTCTGTAAGAACATAAGTTTTAATTATCTTTATGTTGATAATTCACTTCGATGGAATCACAGAATATTGGAGAAAAGGAAAATTTACAACGCCGTGTGATTTGTCATAGAAACGTTTCGCTAAAAAAAATTAGCTTCTTCAGGCCCTGACAATTGCAGTCTCTGTAAGGATATTTTTTGTAGAGGGAAAAGAGAGCTGTAAAAAAGTTCGTCCGAACGATTTTGGTATCTTTCTCGAATCTCCCTGGGGGGAATTGATTCATTTGTAACTGGATTTCATAGAGCTACTTGATTTCGATTAACCTTATATGCTCTTCTGTACTCACTGGCTGATTTCCTTGCCTGCTAGATGCTTGAGAATATCGACAGACGTAGCACCGATCGAAAGCCCATCAACACTGATCATGCAGGGATCTGAGATTGTGTGAATATTAGAAGACTTCAGCGATTGAGGGATAAAATACTCTGGAGTTGGATAAACATTATCATGATGAGCATCTTTGCTGGAGGACATCAGAAGAATCTGCGTACAGGAACTAAACAAAACAAAAAAATCGTAAATCTAACAATCATTCCACCAAACTGATTAAAACGCTAATTGTGTTTTAATTTTCCTTTTTTTTTCATTTTTCTCTAGATATTTCCTAACGGTTCAAAATGAAGACTCAAATCTAAATCAAAGAATCAAAGTTTAAATAATCAAATCCTTTCGAAAGTTTTGGTAACTTAGAGGAGAATGGAATTCAATTTAAATCTCAGATGTTTGACTGCAAATATTGTGAAGTCTGGTTTCAAAGAAAAATATTAAAAATTCTTGAATAGTTGTAATTTAGAAAACTACGCATACCCTTTTACAAAATTCATAATCTTCTCCACGAACTCTTCGAAAACCTCCTGAAGTGTGTTGACAACAACTGCTTGTTTAATATCCTCATTATCCTGGGGTACAAAGGGCCCCACAAGAACAAGTAGATTCGGTTCGGTCTCTGCAACATTCTGCATGAGATTCATAAGTGGTTGGAAGTCCAGTCGATCCCTCTGAGTGAAAGGTCCACAAGCCACGACGATCTGCATCGTCTGGGTAATATTCGGTGGAGGTGTGGGTTGCACCCCAACTATTGTCTTCATCTCCCTGACGATAAACGTCTCAGTTCCTGGGTTGATCCCTTCCACGACGACAATTTCTCCGGGGAAAATGGAAAATTGTTTCAATTTGCTCAGATTCAGAGACGTTGACACGCAACAGCCCTTCCTCTTTCTCGAGGAATCCTCATCCTCAACTTTCTCGTCATCCTCTGGAACGAACCAGTTCTGTAATATGAAGGATCCAGCCCCCATCCTCTCGCACTTCACTCGACCGAATGTCCTGAACGGCTCCTGAATCCTCTCCATAACGTTAGCAGTGACGATCATCTCTTTGTTGTCGATAGGCCACTGGTCGGAAATCCGTTTCCCCATGTCGGAGCAATAATTCTCCAGGTTTTCTAGTCTTCGAGAGAGAATGTCGAACATGTAGGTTTGGTCTGACGGCACGTAAGGGTGAGTTGTTTTAGTGAGTTTGACGATTTTGTTTGAGCTTTCGTTGTTCCAGGTTTCTACATAATTCCCAAATTGCTGGATGACTTTACCACTGATGTTTGTGTCCACATCTCGTTTTGGAAGTTCCCTGAGAATCAAATAACGGAGGATGAGCCATTTTTTTAATGCAGATTTCAAAGAAGATGAAAAAGCTTATTATCACTACACGATGGATTTTCATTCAAACCTTTCCAAAATTGATTATCCAACAATGACTCTATTATTAAGGAAATCAGCTTCTTTCATAAATCAAACCAATCGTCCCAAGCACTTCTCATCATGGATAGAATATTATTTGTCCCTCCATTTCTTATCCTCCAATATTAATGAAAGGTAATAATATCTTAATCTCAGACAACGGCGAAATGAATTCTTTCATTCAAAATGTTTTCTTGGCTTTGCGATAAAGTTTGTCTCTGACTTACCTCCACGTTATACTCATTTATAATGCTTAAATTCCATAAACTATTAAATTTTCACCATTATTCAGTTCTCCTAGGGGAGAGTGGGGCCAAATGAAGCAGCGAGGCACAATAAAGCAGTGGGGCAAAATGAAACAGTCAAAAAAACGCCTGTTTGACGCAATGTAAACAAAAAAAAATTTTGTTTATTAAATTTTTTGTATATTAAATTTTTTCCATTCAGTAGAATGGAAAATTATTGAAAAGCTTCGATGGGCGAAGATTTTGTCAATGGATTATTCTATTAAAATTTAGCACCACATTTTCCTTTTTGCCGCTCTGGGTCTCCCCCTGGGCCTTCCTCTAGACTTTGAATTTTGCTGTTTAATTTTTTTTTCAATTGATCCATTGACAAAATCTTCGCCCGTCAAAACTTCTCAATAGTTTTCCATTTTACTGAATGGAAAATTATTATTCTCATCAGTACTCCCAAGAATAAAAAAAAGTTGATAAAAAAAATATTTAGTAAAAAAATTGTTTTTTGCTTGAATTGCGTCAAACAGTCGTTTTTTTTACTATTTCATTTTACCCCACTATCTCCTAATTAAGCAAATATAATTGTTCAAGAGAAAGTGAAGATTCCCAAACGTGAGAAAGGAAAAAACAGTGATTCCCTTACGCTTTAGCGGTATAGCTCGCAGGCGAGTACGAGCTCTCCACAGCTCGCACTTTATTCTCAGGATTGATGACTTCGGCATGCTCGGGACTCCTCAGCCGTTTAATCTGATGAAAAAAAAGAACAAAGTACCGTGAATGATTGATGGGCCTGAAAAATTCTTTCACTTTTCATTCCAAATGCTCACGCCTGGGAACCTTTTGTTCCAGGTAAATGAGAGACAGGACGCCGTAGACGAGTGTGTATCTAGTCACGGGTTGCATATCTACGTGCACCAAATTCATACTCGTCTATGGAATTGGAGTACCTGCAATGGGCTCCTAAAAAGGAAATAAGCATCAGATAAGTTTTCAGCCGATTTTTAAAAATATTAACAATAAAAACATCTTCAAAGTCAGAAGATTATTCACACAGGTATGAGCAAGGGGCCACTTGTTGTTAATCACCGAGCGTACTTAATGAGTGTGGATCTAGTCACAATTTCATTTTATCAAATGTGCACTAGACCATCACTCACTGGGTGCAGTCGGTACAAGTTTTTCACGTACAATTTTTATTCCTTTGTTGTCCCTGGGCATTGATTATTATATTTCCTGCCATAATCGAGATGAATAAATTCCACACATTCTCAAAAATATAACAGTGGATGGAATTTTACACAATCAAACAAATCAACTGTATTTTCATAGACACTTTTTTATGTGGAAGTAAATTTTCAACAAAAAATGGCTCTCGACATTTCCCCCTGAATCCACCAATTGCCGATATACTTTCACAATTAGTAATGAAACTTGATTATAATATTTCCTGCAACAATCGAGATGAATAAATTCGACACATTCTCAAAAATATAACAGTGGAGGGACTTTCACACAATCAAACAAATTAATTGTATTTTCATAGACACTTTTTTATGTGCAATTAAATTCTCTACAAGAAATGGCTTTCGTCATTTCCCCCCGATTCCACCAATTACCGATCCTTTTTCGTAGGAAATTGAATTCTCCATAAAGAAAGTCTTTTGACATTTTCTCTTCAGTCAATCAAAATCAAAATATTAAAAAACAATAAAATCTACCAATTACTATCCCAATTTTTTCATGCGGGATGGTTAACCGCCGTTAACCTGTCTCCTTGACGCACGCGGTTCGTCGATGCGTACTACTCCTATCGTCTCAAAATCTCCAGTAATATTCCTCTTCCTTTCCTCAACCTCACGATTTCTCAAGTACTACTCCGAAAAATCACCTGCCCCTCTCCCAAAGCCACAATAATCCTGGGAGACAACAGATTTAAACTTGAACTCTCGAAACGAAGGAATAATCCTCGTTGGAACGTTCAACCAAGAACGAGAGAGAAAGAGCGGCCCTGGACTGACCGCAGAACGAAACATCATCATGATCTACGGGTGAGGGTGGGGGGAAATAAGAGTTAAGGGGGGGAGGCCCCCCTCGGGAGGTCTTGGAGGTTTTTGGATTGATCTCTCTCACCAGCATCATTTTTTCTCAAGGCATTTGGCGTCGGACATAGCTCTCCCCTCACATCAACCATATCTACTTTTTCCTCTGTTCCCCTTTGGCTACTTGAAAATCTCGTTGTCCTTTTTTCTCCCCCTTTTTCGGTTACTCCGTCTCCCCTCCCCGCGGTATGTGTAGTATCTACGCTCGCTAGTACCGTGGGAAATGACGTTGAACTTTTACCAGTTACACGCGTTTCACAATGCGGGAACGTTAAAATTCAGCATGAGATGGATTTACGAGATTTTAGGGTGAGTTCCCCTTGGAATGATGTGGGGAGAAATTGTAAGTTTCGAATTTCAAATCTCGTGGAATTTCCAAGAGTAAAGAAAGATGGAAATTTTTATAAATCGCGGGTTTGGACTCTACCGATACAGGGATATTCATGATTGAAAATTAGAAATTAAGTCAGAAATCAATTTGTCTTCCCCTCGAAATAGTCAAGAGTTCAATGATCCGATTTAAACGAATTGGAGTTCATTCTGAAAATTGATAAACCATCTTGACCATTTAATATACGATACGTTTGCGATATTTTTTATCACTTACCAATCCCTTCACAATAACTTGGGGTAGAATGATCGAAATGTACGAATCTAGTCTAAATTTTTTAGTTCAAAAAAGGAGTTAGAAAATGAAAAAAAAAATATAATTCTAATTTTCACTCTACTAATCCGCAGACATCCCCAGCTCAAACTCACTGTACCCGTATCGTCGAAACTATCGCAGTCATGCGGGGTCGCGTGCGTAAAATCGTTATATTCCCCCACAATGGTGAAAATATCCGAGACCAAAGATCCCGAAGGGAATTATTCAAGCGAGAACAACAGGGATTAGGCGGCAATTCGTCAATTGCGGTTAATTGATCGAGAGAGCCACAGCAGATGACGTTCTCTCTCTCACTGACACACTGATGAGAGAACATAAATAAGATGTTGATGACTTGTACGTAATTCCCGGATATCTACAACTGCACGTGTTCATTATAATTCAATTCAATTAACCCGTCCCCGCTTCCCCCTATTCTCTGAGATTTACAATTCTGGATTAGAATAATTTCCACGGCCTTGAACGAGGTATCGCAGGAAATTAATGACTCTAGGGTTGAAAAAGAACTTGGGAACAGAACAGAACAAAGAGCTTCAGCGTTCTTTATTTTATCGCAAGGCGCAATCGATTCGAGGAAGCAGAACGTGAGGGAATAAAGCGTCTTATTCCCACTCTATCCTATCACTGAACATGAAAATTCCCGTGTTCATTATTCTCTATTGGAAAGTTATATTTAAAAATAAACGGAACGGTCCATGAATTTGAATATACTGAAGTACGGACTTTCTGGTTTTGGCGATTCGATATATGTGCCCCACATAAACAATGAATAGCATCGAGAGACAATATATTAACGTTTTCGAGCAGAATGAAATATTTTCTGTAAAATATAGTGAGTATTTTGGTGAATTATATTTTTTTCATGCAGGACGAGTTATAGACGCTCTCTGATGGGCTTGAGACGCTCTCCAAGGGGGAAGCAACAGGTAGCGGCGGCGGCGGCGGCGTCCATTGCGTCACAAAAAAACTTCCCGATTCCAAGAAATTACATCAAATTCCTGTATTTCATTCAATTAGAGATGCCAACCACGAGATAATTACTAGCAAGAATGTCTTCTGATGCTATTTCTATTGAAAATAACCTTCTGATGATGAGAAATAGTAGATTTATTACGAAAAATCACAATCACTGGTTCACACTAATGAAATAATCACAAACTCAACGATAGTAAAGAATTGAAATTATTCACCTTGCAGAATCTAAATTACGGGGATATGAGAAATATCAGTTATATTAACCACAAAGCCCAAGCCACGCCACTGTCCTGTACTGGCGCTCTCCTCGAATCACGTTAAATCGTTTCTCAGGCCGACTGCCTACAAGGCCCTGGAGTAAAAACCAATGTTATAACGAGGGAATATTAAACCCAACGAAGATAACCGAACTCTCGCGAAGTATCATTTTCCCTACCGAGAAGCCGGCTGGTCGACATCTCAAAGCTCATGCAATCCGTTAATTACGAATCCTCATCATCATTACGATTCCTAATCACTAATCGTAAACCTATTCAAGACAAATCCGGAAGAACAAACACTCGCAATTTCAGAATTTAAAAAGTTAAAAATGTGAAAATTAATTAATGGAGTAGTACACGGCCAAATTACCAATCCAAGAAAACAAATTTTAAGTTTTATTCACGAGCGTTGAGCAATGCGAATACTCGGCTCGAGCCGTCCTTGAAAACTGAAATTATGCCCTTTGAAAGAAATCTGGTTGGGGGCTTGGGGAGAGGGGGGAGTCCCCTACAAACGGTTTCTTTATTCAAGGGAATAGGTACCCCTGGAGAAGGTATCGTGCATTCATGTCTCTAGATTGTTCTTTGTGGAGGGAAGGCCTGAGAGAGAGGCGCAAAGAGGGGATAATGGCGGCAATTCTACCTGGATTGTTGTAGGGGGAGGTGCTGGACCGAGAGGGGGGGGGGGGAACCACCTGTCGGAAAAACGTTAGAAATTTTACCTGATGGAGTATTGCGCCCTTTCCACTTGTTTTTTTGGGTTTTTCTTGGCTTTTCGGTTTTGTACTGCACTTGAGGGACGCACTTGAGTGTTTTTGGGGAGGATTTTTGGGAGGGTTGTGGATTTAGGGTGTGAGAGAATTGATACGTGGCACTGGGCATGAGGATATGGGAGGTTTGGGTACACGCACATGCCGAACGACTGTCGGGGCAGGACTAGCCATGCTTCGAGCAACTAGTGGCAGAGCAGGGCCGTAGGATGATGGGGTGTCCGGTGAAGGTAGATGAGGTGGTTTTTCGTTGAAATCTGCAGGAGATGAGACTGCTGAACTGTCGGACGGGGAGAGGGGGAGGGGGGTAGAAGATCGATTCTTACAAAAATCTACATCTCCTAATAAAATAAGGGTATTTCAATTTTCTTTTTAAAAAAGGGGTATCTCAAAATTCATGTGGAAGCTTGTTATTCACATCCATTTCTAAGCCTCACGGAGCTCGCAAATCATTTTATTTCTCTTCCAATGTGAACTACTTCATGTTGCTTGCACTTTTTGATGCATCCATACCATTTATACAGCTGTCAAGAGAAGGAAAACGTGAGATTTCAGACGATTTTTCACATGAATTTTGAGATACCCTTGTTTTAAAAAGAACATTGAAATACCCTTGTTTTATTAGGAAATGTCGAAATTAGGCTTTGAGAAGCTTCTTTGAATCTTAAAAAGTAGTTTGTAGCGATGGATATCTAAGGGAGTTGGTGCAATTTCTGCAAGAAGCCAATCTCGTGGGAAAGCATGAGAATTATAAAAAAGCCTTTACGAAAATTGCATCATCTTCTACGAGCTATGGGTGGAATTGCATTTTCGCTTTACAAATTTACAATAAAAATCGTTTATCGGATATTTTGAAATCCAGGGAAGATGGCAATATATTTTAAAGACAGTTTATTTTCAGGAGTGAGTGGGGGGCTACAACAAGGTGTGAGCGACAATCTCCAGTAGATTCAGAGATATTCACTGAAAAATCATTTCGGAGTAGAATTCAGTAGCGAAGTGGTAAAACTGTAAGTCGACTTATCTCCCAGTTGAGTTTTTGAGGAATATTTCCGAATTCAAGGGAGACAGCGAAATTTTCGTAATTACATTTTTTGTAGCTCTCAATTGGCTCTACAAAAATGGATGAAACAAAAAATTTGCTATGTCCCTTACATTTCGAGATATTATTGAAAACTGACCAATAGTCAAAATTGGTTTGCACCGTTTTACCACTTCGCTACTGAATTGATTTCACCACTAGCTTTTAGAAAGTTCAAGAGTAAAACTTCCATGATCAGTAATTATCCTAGACAAACCCCTACTTACATAACAAAAAAAAATCGTGAAAAAAATTATTCGATTAAGAAAAATAATCATCAAACAAATGGATAAGCATGAAATATAGAGAGCAACTGAACATTAAACTCCAAGAAATAAAGCTGAGGTGTTGAGACAAGGGTCGATACATCCTGAGGGGGCAACAGTTGGAGAATTGGGTCCACAGGTAGAACGTCGTTACGTCATTACTACAGCACAGGGAGACCAAAAAGAATGTCAGGACAGTGTTGCCAAAGCCTGCTCCGCGTAAATCATCGGCAGTGTTGCCCCGATGGGGGGGGAACAATGAGGGGAAAAAAGATTGAGACAGGCGATCGGTGAAAGATGAACCGCGGAGAACGAGAATGATGAGGTGAACTCAGAGAATGAACCTCTTGGGGACAGCTCCAGGGTCTCGCCATTTTGTGAGGGAAGATGATGGGGGCTTCTATAATATGGCGACTGTTTGGAGCGTCGCCCCCACCCCACTTTCCAAAATGCGCGAGGACTCAATTTATGGAGGATTGATGCTCCATTTTTTAGAAGCATCTATCCTCAAAATTTAAGGTTTCTGAGGAAAATAGACGATTTTTTTAGAAAAGATCCTTGCAAAAATTGCGCAATTTTCCACAGATCCAGAGACATTTCTAAAAAAAACTGATGAACTGCAACTGATTTCCTCCGTTTCCCACTCCACGATTAATTCAGTTTTCACTTTTTTCTATAAAGAATATCCTTGAAAAAATATCCGTATATCGTCTAGATTCTGAAATATTTTCAAAACAAGCAGCGCGACAGAAGCTATTTGACAGATTACATATGACTGCTACTCTCCACGTGTTTTTTTCTCCTATTCTCATTTCTACCAATTTCATTTGTAGTAGGCTTTCAAATGGATCCCAATGTATGTTTTCAAAAAATTACGACATAAGGATTACCATTTTTTGAAAATATTAAGGTCAACTCATACAAGACGAATATCGTTAGTTATTATCTATTTATGGAAAAATTATCCTTCCCATGATGGCCATTTGTGAATCATCTAGTCAGAATATCGAACTTATTAGAATAAATATGAAAAACAGTCATGGTTACACGGGTGAGGCGCGACGGCGGTCATCCAAGCTGTCTTATTTTCCCCTATTTCTATAAAATAAATTTGAAAAAACCATATATTCATGCTATATGGCTTTCTCAGTTATCCTGATGTGAAAATGAACGGTGAAATATAGATGCGGTAATTTTTTTTTTCTCAAGAATTTTGGGTGAATTGTTCCATCTCAAGAACTATCAAATATATCGACCTAACATTTTATATAGGAATGTTCCTTGACAATCCTAACGAGAACCCAATGTTTCAAAAGGTGTTCCTGACCGTTACCGATGTCATAGTGCCCAAAAGTGAATTCCGACCAAAAAAATATAAAACCGACAATATCTGGAAAAATTTCAATTGGATGGTTCCCATATTTAGTTAGATCTAGATAGATGACATCAAAACGCACATTTTGAAAAAAAAAATTGAAATCGGACCAATAGTTTTTGAGATACTGAGCAAACGAGTTTCACATACAAAATTGAATATCTCTGAAACTACTGGTTAGATTTCGTGCATCCAGAATCCCAAACTTTGTTATCATAAGACCTAAAATCATACCAAGTTTTAAGTTTCTATCTCGATTATTTTTCAAGTTATTGTGCAAACAAACAATTTCAGTGAAAAAATGAAAAAAACGAGAATAAAACAACCTTGCTCAGGGTGTAATGGTCTTTTTTCAATTCAATTAAATAGGCAACATCATGACGAGTATTTTGAAAAAAAATCGAATCGGTCGAATGGTTCAGAAGATATTGGCAAAAAACGATTTTCGAAGAAACTCTATATCTCAGGAACCGCTCAACCGATCGAGCTGAAATTTAGCACAAACTTAGGTCTCAGTAGTACCAATTAGCAGCCAGAATTTCAGTAGCTTTGCCTCAATAATTCTCGAATTATGGGGACAGTTCTGGAAAATATCATTTCTTCACGTTTCATAACATTTCTAGGCATTTCCATTCAAAATTAAGAAATGGAAAAAAATCACGATTACAAAGCTTCCATTCGGAAGCAAAAACTGGTGAAAAAAAAATTCCTTCATGGCTTGAATATTTAATTAATGCAGACTTTAGCTAATCAATTCGTCCGTAGATTAATCGTACTCATCCAATACTTCTAACGAATTCTACGGACTGTTCTGTTCAATGACTTCTTTGAATTCATCAGTCTGATTGCTTTCCAATTGAAGATGACAACAAAATGAAATGATGTGACAGACTGACAGAGTCAGTGAATCAAGGGAGATGAGAACCGTCGCAGTAAAAGAGGGAACGCGAGATGTTTGGTGGGTTCACGTGACAACAGAGCCACGGAGATTCTTTACGATTTCACAGCACCGTTGCCAAATTTCGATGTCAACTTTGGGGTTCCTTGTATTCAGTCACGATTGATTCATTTTTTATTGGATACACGAACCCAATGTACGAATGATTTACATAGATACTAATGGTAATTTTATTGTAGGTGGTGGATTTATTTTTAGGTTTTTTATTCTTTCGATGTTTGTGGAGCGAATGTTTTTGAATTCGATTTTTGCTGAATATTTTTAAATATGGAGAAGAGAGGAAGTTTTTGTGGGTATTTTTTACGGGAAACATAGTTCAAAAATGGTCTCCACAAACATTTTGATATCTCCTATATTCAGAGATGTTTAGTGACAACTAAAATCTAAAAAAACTCAAAATATTGAAAAAAAATCTAATTTTCATCAATTTTTTTGTGAATATCTTTCAAATTTCCTAAGGGAGATGGCAAAATTCCATAGAAATATTCTTTTCCTAACTCTCAATTTCCTTTCGGATGAAGGTCTTATCTATCATAAATTCTGCGATGGTCAGTAAAAACTAAAACCTAAAATCGCCTCATCTCAAACTACAATAAAATAGTAATTACTCCCACAATTACATAATTGATCAATAAAATTGACTTACGGATGGTGTCGATGGTTTATAGCCGTACATTTCAAGGATTCCCTCGTCATCACTGAATTAAATAATAAAACAAACAACCGATGTAAGGATTTTATAGAAAATTTGCATTGGGCCTTATTCCACTGGGAGGGAAAAGAGTTGAGCTAAGTTGAACGAAAATTGCTGTGGCGACTTGGCCCAAATCTTCCCTCGTCCAATTCTCGGTAAAATGATGTTCAGAGCTCATTTCGCTTTAAAAATTGATCAATTGATGAATTTGAGAAAGGATACACGAATATTTTTGAGGATCCAGATGCTGCCAGCATCCCCATCTCACTCTTGGGCCCTTCATCATCCGTTTTAATGGTTCGTCTCTTTTTCAAGACGCTATTTTCGAACTCTGTGAGCGTCTCCAGAGAGGGATTGCTGTCCTCAGGTTCGTAATTTTTCGATGCTACGTATCCCACCCATTCTTCGACGAATGTCGCTTCGTCGCGTTCATACAAATCGCACAAGTCCAGACCTGTCAAGACATTGTGATTGAAATAATGAACGTTCCAATCATAACTTAGTTCATGAATCGTTCTGTCGAAATTGGGGCGATACGGGAATTTTTGTAACGACGCTTGTGGAGAAGTATCAGAGATAGAAAATAGCTTTGAAAATAGGGGAGAGTGGGGAAAAATGAAACGGTCAAAAAACGACTGTTTGACACAATTCAAGCAAACATTTTTTTTTTATTAAATATTTTTTTTGTCAACTTTTTTTTATTCTTGGGAGTACTGATGAGAATAATAATTATCCATTCTGTAGAATGGAAAATTATTGAGAAGTTTTAATGAGAGAAGATTTTGTCAATGGATTATTCGATTGCAATTCAGCAGCACATTTTCCTTTTTCCCCCTCTGGGTTTCCCCCTGGGCCTTGCTCTGGTCTTCGGACTTTGCAGTTTCGTTTTCTTTTCAATTAATCCATTGACAAAATCTTCGCCCGTCAAAACTTCTCAAGTTAATGGAAAACTTCTCCCTAGTGAATGGAAAATTATGATGCTCATCAGTCCTCCCAAGAATAAAAACAAGTTAATAAAAAAATTTTTTTTTGTTTGAATTGCGTCAAGCAGTCGTGTTTTGACTGTTTCATTTTGCCGCATGTATCATTTTGACCCACTCTCCTCTAAATTTCATGATTTACACTACAACCCGAGATACTCAAGAAAAAACTTGATGAGAGAAACTGCATTTTCGACGTGTGCGATGATAATTTGAGGTTATGCTCGCACCTTCCATTTTATAAAATATTCAAGGGCGATTGAAGCGAAAAATTCGAGAAAAGAGGACACAAATTTACTGAATATACCTGAAGAAAGATATTTCCTTTTAGGTTATCCAACAATAGTTCTTATAAATTTTCAAGGACAAACGTGTGAGTAAAGCAAAATACTGGGGAATGATAATTATATAATAGCGAGATAGAAGTTTATGATTACTTACATTTAAGTAGGACTTGTTTATCCTCGACTGTGTACGATAACTTGTCGAAATACTGCGTCAAAATCTCCTCCTTCACCATTGTGCTGCTGCGACCGCCGACTTCCCGCCAAAACTGCCAACAGCCAACGAACCCAGCTCAAGAAGCGTCTGCGCGCGCACTGGATAGGAGACAGTGCTGGCCTCTTCGTTACCCCCCCAAACAAGTAATTAATTCGAATTTTTGTCAATCACTATCTCATAATTTTCATTGTGAATTGAGAGAAAATGTCACAAGATCTTCTTGATAACGAATTCACTTTCCAACAAAAGAAGAACTTTGAGATTGACAGAACTCATTACCGAATTTATTCAGCATTAAGACATGACCAATTGATCATCACATAAAAAACAAATGGCGCATTGCACAGGTCTAAATCAAGTATACTTTTTTGCTAAAATTTAGCAATTTGCTTCCGAATGGATTAATCGAATTAAACGAAAAAAGGGCATATTCGGTTTTCTGTCATCAATTTCAGATTTATAGGGATCCTTCCTGAAGTGTAACCTCAGGAAAATTCAAATTTTTTTTTAAAGACAATTTGAGATAAAATTTTTTAGTGAACTGAATTTATTTTAAATTAGACAAATTGAGTGAAATCAAAATGAATGTAAGATTTGATATCACAATAGTTCATGCTCCTGACACATAAATTTTGATGTCTCCTCGGTCGTAAATCAGTTATTTAAATTATATTTTTCTCCTGGATAGTTTTCCTTAAACTGAACGTAAAATCGGTATAACTTTTTTGCTAATGAATTTGCAATTTTCTTCTGAATGGTAAATTGGAGAAGAAGATATACCAGCCATGAAACCTTAATATGATTCCTAAATGTCCCAATGTCTAACATGAGCTCCATATGCCCTGGTTAAACATCTAACAAACGCCGACTAAATTCAAATTAAACTGGTTTAAACTTCCACTGAACATTGATTAAACCTTGAAGAAACCTTGGTTAAACGCTGATTAACCTCCGACTAAACCCTGACTAAACCCCGACAAAATCCTGACTAAACTGTGACTAAATCCCGACTAAACCATGATTAAACCTCGATTAAATGCTTTTTAAGGCTATAATTTCAAAGCAAATGCTGCGATCCCCACTACCTTCGCACTTGACCGAGATAACATCCAAACGAATATTTCCACCCATAATTGAAATCATTTCCACGAATATTTTTTGAATGATCTCGAAAAACTAAATTTGAAAAAAAGCTCACATACATACATCCATACATACGGACATGATCTAAAAACAGCATATTCGAACTCCTGAGACCCAAATTAGTCATCGTCACACAAAAAATTAAAATTCCAGATTTAACGAATACAATGCTTCCATTCGAACGCAAAGTGCAAGTGTAAATTTCAACACGTTCATTTATTCCATTAAAAAAAGGAATGAATGAAACTCCAAACTTTTTACTTCGTCTCGAAATATCCACAAGGACATGGGACTTTTTACGTTTATCGATGATTAGTTATTGAAAAATAATAATCGTCATGATTAACTTTATTGATTCTGATTCTTTTCACTTTCTGATTGGGACCGCTAATTACCGATGGCGGCGCTCGTTTTCACCAATATGGACGATTTTAGGCTTCCCATATACACGCTAACAAAAGCCCAAATTGGGTTGAATACTGCTGTGTCCAGCTCAAAATATCCGCCATTCATAGATGGCGTTTTGATATTTAGCGTTTACAATAGCGAATAAAGAATATTAGCGCCGCCGCGGCCGCGACGTTGATGACCTTTCATTGTGCCGTTTCTTATCATCTTTGATTTTTGTTAATTTCAAAAATTAATGAATTATCGGTTCATCATACAAAGCGTTGAGATTAATGAAAGCTTAATCCAGCTCGGTGCCAGTTGAATATTTCAATGAGTGATTGACTAATTCTGAATTTCCGGGCTCACTAAATGAGGTTCTGATTATGACGTGGTTGGCTTCCGGATGGATGCCGCGTTGAGTTTCAGCATTGCGCCGACGTTTCGCAAACATTGCAGTCTGCATCTTCAGGGCTATGAGCTCCGATTCTGAGCTCCGATGTGTGGGGGCAGTCCTTATATACCTTCCCTTGTGGTGGTGGG